TACAAGCAAAATAAAAGCATTGTGCTCTTCATCTGCTACAGGCACACTGAACACACGGGACTCACTGGATGTTGTTACAGATGAAAGATTTCACATCTCCCTTCAGTACTGCTTGGTGAAGGTAGTCTTTCTCCTCCCTCTGGGAGGAAACCTTTGCAGCCCCCATGACATTTCTACCCACTTTCATATAATAAAAACTTGTGCCTGACCGGCGTGGCTCAGTGGTTAAGCGTCGACCCATGAACCAGGAGGTGACGGTTCGATTCCCTGTCAGGGCAATGTCCCAGTTCCAGACTCAATCCCCAGTAGGGGGACGTGCAGAAGACAGCTGATCAATAATTCTCTCTCGTCACTGATGTTTCTCTCTCTCTCTCTCTCCCTCTCCCTTCCTCTCTGAAATCAATAAAAATATATATTTTTTTTAAATAAATAAATAAAAATCTGTAAGTCCACTTTAAATTGCAAACTGAGTCTCAGTCACAGGAGTACAAATGCTCCGCACAATACATTAACAATCTCTTCAATCCTCACTGAAAGGTAAGGCTTCTCTCCCTGGCGGTGGGCACATAAACCTACCTTCTCTCCCACCTGGCATGTCTCCTTCTCCCTGAGCTGGGTCTGCTTCCCGGGAGGGCTCAGGCAGGGAGAGGGAAGAACGTTAGGGCGATAGGACAGTGGTCACTTGAATGACCCCGTGGTAAAAGGCGTAGAGCTCTGTGGGCAGCTGGAGCTTAAATGTTCTCTTTCGGAATGTGTTTGAGGTCCTTGCGGGGCTCCTCAGCATTGGGGCCCCCTATGCAGCTCCTGCAGGTGATTGTTATTTGACTGACCTGCCAGTAATTGGGAGAAATATGTTGAAATATATTTGCAATATGTGTGTGCATTATATATTTAGAGGCAACCCGGTGTGCCACATTTAGAATCGGTGAGGATGTGTGCTTGGTTGAGCCGTGTACTATTATACAGGGGTCCTCTTTCCCTAACAGTGCCTGTGCTTTGCAGTCTCTTTTACTTGGACTCCCCTGACGTACTTATGACAGCCACGCCTGCTGCAGCTTTTGGGTTTTCTTTTTCTCTTACCTTTTTACTTTCGAACATTCTCCGTCCTTATAGTTGAAATATGTTTCTTATAAACAACATATAGCAGGGTTGTTGTTTTTTAATTTTTGATATTTTGTTTCGTGCTTGCTACTTGCCTACATTTTTATGTTTGGTTTTGTTTTTACTTTACTGCCTTCTTTAAATTGACTTTTTCTCTTATTCCATTTTCCACTTAGCTGCCTTGGAAACTATATACTCCCCATGTATTCTTTTTTAAAAAAATAATATATTTTTATTGATTTCAGAGAGAGAAAGGTAGAAACATCAATGATGAGAGAGAATCATTGATCGGCTGCCTCCTGCATGCCCCCTACTGGGGATCGAGCCCGCAACCCAGGCATGTGCCCTTGACTGGAATCAAACCCAGGACCCTTCAGTCTGCAGGATGACGCTCTATCCACTGAGCCAAACCAGCTAGGGCTCCCCGTGCATTCTTTTGTAGTTGCTTTGGAAATTTCACCAGGCCTAATTGTGCCAGGCGGACTGATACCCCTACTCAAAGGTGTCCATGTCCTAATCTCCAGAACATGTGAGAATGCTACCTCACAGGAAAAAACAGACTTTGAAATGGGATTATGTTACGAATCTTGAGACGGGAAATTATCCTGAGTTTCTGGGTGGACCCATTTTCATTACAGAGTCCTTAGAAGAGAGAGACAGGACGGCTAGAGTCCAGGAAGGTGGTATGATGACAGAAGCAGAGAGAAGGTCTGTAATATGCTGCACTGCTGGCTTTGAAGACAGAGGATGAGGTCCTTAAGCAAGAAAAGGCAAGGAAAGAGATGCTCTTCTAGAACCAGTCTCGGGAATGCAGCACGACTGAAACACTGTAGACTTCTTACTTCCAGAACCATAAGAGAATAAACGTGTGTTGGTTTAAGCCACTAAGTTTGTGGCAGTTTGTGACGGCAGCACTTGGAAACTAACACAGATTTTGGTACCTGAAAGTGGCATGCTGCTGTACCTGTGAAAGTGGCTTTGGAATTGGGCAGTGGCAGAGATTGGAAGAACTTTGAGGTGCATGGGAGAAAAATGCTAGGTTGCCTTGATCAGACTGTAGGTAGAAATGTGCATGTTAAAGGCGCTGTTGAGGATGCAGGCTTTACCCCTCGTAGGGAGCGTGCAGGAGGCAGCCCATCAATGATGTTTCTCTCTATTCTCATTCTCTCTCTCTCTCTCTCTCTCTCTCTCTCTCTCTCTCTCTTCCCCCCTCTCATTCTCTCTAAAATCAAGAAAACATTTTTTAAGGCGCTGTTGATAAAGGCACAGAAGGAAATGAGGAACGTGAAAGAAAGTGGGGGGAAAAAGAGATCCTGGTTATGTCGTGGCGGAAAACTTAGCTCAGTGGTGTGTCCTATAGTTGTGTGGGAATCAGAATGTAAAAGTGATGATGTCTGATATTTAGCTGAAGAGATTTCCAAGATAAATGTTGAAGGTTCACCCTGATTCCTTCTTGCTGCTCACAGTAAAATGCAAGAGGAAAAAGATAGCTCAAAAACTGATAAGAAAAAGAAGAAGAGGACTTGATGATTTAGGAAATTCTTTGCTTAACCAGATTGCAAAAGATGCTAAAATTATGAGATTCACGGTCAGGGGAGCATTCCTTGGAGAGAAGAGCCAATAGTATGGCTGGACAACCGTTGGCTAGTGCCTTAAATCCTTAAACCAGGCACTATTCTTACTGTTTGAAATATTCATTATTTAGATTTACTTATATGATGACCAGTTTCTTTGCTCCCCGCTCCATCTCACAGTTCAGACCTTGTGTCCGGAGTGACTGTCCTCCTTTCTGGCGCAGGCAGACCTTGTTTTACCGAGCTCACTTCACTGTGCTTCCCAGACATCGTGTTTTATACAAACTGAAGCTTAGCACCCTCCTCCAGCAAAAAGATTATGATTCACTGAATACTCAGATGATGTTTAACATCATTATTGTTTTAAGCAATAAAATAGTTTTCCTTTTTTAAAAAAATATTTATTGTTGAAAATATTACATATGTCTCTCCCCCTTCTCCCCCGACCCCCATTCACCTCTTCTAGCCAGCCCCCTGCCTCCACCTCAGGCCTTCGCCACCCTATTGTCTGTGTCCATGGGTTACACATATATGCATACAAGTTCTTTGGGTGAACTTTTCCCACTCACCCACCCTCCCCTGCCTTCCCTCTGAGATTTGACAGTCTGTTCCATACTTCTAAGTTTCTGGATCTAATTTTGTAGGTACATTTATTTTTGGCATAATGCTATTGCACACTTAATAAACTACAGTATATTGTAAGAATAACTTTTATATGCACTGGGAAACCAAAAAATTTGTGCGACTCACTTTATTGTGATCATTTATTGCAGTGATCTGGAGCCAAACTCACAATATCTCTGAGGTATGCCTGTATATTATTAGAAATTCCTTAAGTGAGGGTGTGTTGGTAGCAATCTCAGTTTTTATTTGAAAATATCTTTACTTCTCCCTCACTGTTAAAATAAAATTTTACAAGGTATACAATTCCATGTTAATCTGCGGCATATGGAGAGGGCTCAATTGGAATGATTTCCTCCAGAAAGAATTTGCATTTTCTTTTTCTGAGTTGGGTGGGGAGGCATAGTTGAGCATGACAATGTCTCTCGGCCTTTTGAGTGTATTTTCTAATGTTCTAAGGCTCCCATTGTTCCTGTGAGAAGTTGGCTGTCAGTCTCATTACTGAGTTTTGAAGGCATTCTCTTTCTCTCTAACAGTTTATAAGATCTAATCTTTACTATTGGTGTTCTGCAGTTTCATTGCAAGGTTTCTAGAAATGGAGTTCTTTTTGTTAATCTTCCTTGATTTAGGTTGAGTCTTGGATCTGTTGGCTCATCTGATCTTAAAAAATCTCAACGCTTATCTTTTGGAATATCTCTCTCCTCTCATTTAGTACTTTGATTAGACTCCTTTCAGAATTTCTTATTCTATCCTTTGTATTTTGTGGCACTTTTATATATGGGCAATCTCTTCATCTCTCTGTGCAAGTCTCTCTTCCAGTTTGTTAATTCTCTTTTCAACTATGTCTACTCTGTTTAATCTATCCACTGAGTTTTTAATTTCAATTACTATGGTTTCTTTTATGAAAGTTCTATTTTGGTACTGTTGTTTTTCAAATGTGGCCAATCAGTTGATAGTCTCTTGGTTGATTTTTAAACTTTTATTTAAAATATATATATAATAAATTTATATTCTGTTTAATATCTCCAATATATATGTCCTTGGAGGTTTAAATCTATTATTATTTCTGTGGACACTCACTCATGATGGCTTTTTTCCTCATGTGTGTAGAATTTTTTATTATGAGTCAATATTTTGTTGACCTTAATCTGTGGCATGCTGAGGGAATCAGTTGGAATTATTTTCTCCAGAAAGTATTTGCATTTTATTTTTCTGGGTATTGATGGGGAGGGAGTACTTGAGCATTACCAACCTGGTACCTTAACTAAAAATTTCAGTAGGTGTTTGACCAGTATTCTCAAAGAAATTCCCAACGAAAACTATTTCTTCTTTTCTTTTTCTTTTAACCGGGTGCTACTTGATTTTTTTACTGTGTATATGTTGATAAAATTGAAATATTTAACAACAAAGATTAGTCCATTTGGGACCTGCTGTATTCATAGGTTTAGTACAGTCCTTTTTAAAAATAATTCTGTGCTACACAGCCTGGCTACCAGAGAATTATTGACCAAAAGCTAAGTGGACAAACAGAACTTTGAACTTTAATAAGGCAGCTCCAGTGAACCCAGACTTGGCTGAGCAGGCCGGCTGGCCAGGGCCTAAAGATAGCTATAAAGGGGCAAAGTAAATCAATTAACTCCATGGTGTTCATCTCTTGATATCAAAACTTCTTTCTTTACACGCTTCTCCTCTGATCCTGTGGAGATGAAAATTGACATCCATAATCATATTCTACCAAAAGAATGGCCAGATCTAAAAAAGGTAATGGTGACTAATTTGCTGAATTATTTTTGGAATTTCTCCAGGGTTTCTCAATGCCTCTATTATAAACCTAGCTTTTCTTTGAGGAATTAGATGTTAAGTTTCTCTGCTTTAGGGATGCTTTAAAATTATTTGGTAGCTCTGATTTCTTAGTTTTAAAAAATAACTTTTATATTAATTTTGAAAGAACATTGATCAAAGACGTAAGTATTTCTCAAAATTCCTTTCTCCCCTTAAATGAAGCATTCTTTAAAATTTCTGGACAATTTAAGTCAGGCAGTTTCACTTCCATTTGAATAACATATTCAGCTGCTGGGAAGGGAAGATGCATGCCAACTACAGAATTGAAAGTTACAGTTTCAAGTAAGAGACTATTAAAAAATGGAATGTGACAGGCTTCCGGGATTTCTACAGCATATCTCCTTTCCAAAATGTTTAAAATAAGGTTTAGAAGCACCAAGAGATAACTTATGGATTTTTTTATAGTCTATTTTAGGGTGCTGCCTGAAACCTTTCCTTTTTGATGTTCTTTAAGCTGTAAATCCTTGTTATGAACAAGAGAGAAGGAACATCAAAAACCCCAGAGGAAATGACATGAGGCCTTCGCACAATGAGTGTCTCTAAAGACTCTGCTCTGTGCTTCTCCAAAGATGGGTATTTCCTCTTGGCATTAAGAACTTTTGAATGGATAACTGTAACTGAATAAAACCACTAGGAAGGTGGGAGACATGAAAAATCTAAAATTGGCTTGAGTTTTGTTCGGGCTAATTATCAGATTTTACCCAATCTTAAGCCTTCTCTAGAACTTTCACACCACTGATAATGTTTCACCTTTTTATCCCAAGCGAGGAAAAATGGATCAACCTAACCTCTGATTAAATAGTGGCGCATTGTGTAAGTAGCGGACACAATTTTCTTCTCATAGTTGACTCCTGGAAGAATGTTAACCTTAAGTGTTTCTTTGTTCATTGGTATTTTAGGTAAGATGGGTGGTAGGCATTGTGGATTGAAAAATACAAATGATGCTGAATCATCTCTGAAAGGCTCTCCTGTTACAGCCAATGGTAAAAGCTAACCTCATCAAACTCGCCCCTCCAAAAGGAGTCTGAGTGCCTACCTGGGAACTTGCTATTCTGAATGCTGTTTTCCTCGCCATATTTTATTAAAGTGTAAACACAACTTCACAATGTTTGTGAGGATGACCTAGCGCAGTCTAAAAATGTTCCTCCTCTGCTAAGGGGGGGCGGGGGGGGGGGGTTGCGGAGAGACTGTATCCTGTGCCACAACCAGCCTCCCAGGACTTGTCTCCCACCCAGAAGCCTGCCTCTAGTGTGAGCAGAGAACTGGTCACCAAGAGCTGGTCACTTCTAAGTGCCACCTAATGCAGGGCCCTAAAGGTATTGTGAAAACTGCTTAGGAAGCTGAGGGAGGCAGAGCATGGGGAGACTATAGCCATAAATGGGTGCCTGGAGACTCAGCAAACACCTGTTCTCCTGGCTCTTGAGCCCACCTCCGCTTCCTATCTTCTAGCTGTTGCCTCAAAGAGGGAGGAGCATTTTGTCCTGATAAACCAGGCTTCCATCTAGCAGTCTCACAAGCTGCAAGCAGATAACAGATACACAGGATGATGATGATGATGATGATGATGATGATGATGATGATAGTAGTAGTAGTAGTAATAATCATAATACTCTTATACTTCCAAGGAGCAATATGTAATTTGATCCACATAAAATCTTGCTAACTGCAAAATTTATAGGATTTATATTATTAATGCTGCTGGATTGATAAAGTCCTGGAGACTCAGAAATGAGCCTAGAATCCCAGAGCTATGTGGGATCATGGCGGCCCCGCCCCACTAATACCACCACACCCAGCTGAGAGAGCTGGCCCAGGAGAATGGCACTGCTATAAGGGATGTCCCTGCTTCCTTTTGCCGCCCCCACCCCAAGTGCCTCCCTCGACACCAGCCCGCTCCCAAACACACCCCAAACCCACGTAGGGTTCATCATGGGGTATTGGAACCTGGCTTCCAACCTGCAGGTCAAGCAACCAGATCTGTTATATGGTAGAGTTTTGCATTTGAGTGCAGGCAAGCCAGTGACAAAACAACGAGCAGAAAAGGATTCTGTGATTTCAAATTGGGAGGAGTGAGATAAATAAAAATACGTGAAATGGTGCTGGGACCCATCTCCCTCTCTCCGCATTTTCAGTCTATGTGGTCAGAGTGAGTACTGAAGTGACAGTAGTTAAGAGCAGATCTTCTTTGGTGTTCATATAGTTCAACAGTTCCAGCAGATTTTCCTTTGCCTTCCAATTGTTTCTTAGGGGGCAAAATATTTCAAAGCATCCATCTCTGATCTTTTCTCACCATTTTTTCAAACTTTCCAATAAAAGAATGAAAAGAATAAACCAATACTAGTTTTATGTTAGAGGATGAAGCCTGTTTGGAAGAACTAACACCTCTTTTCAAACCTGATCTTTTCAAAAATTAAATATTAATAGACACACCTCAAAAACCTTGCTCTCCTTATGCAACAAAGAAACAGAAAAGGAGAATCAACATCCTGGCTTGATAATTAACTAATCATTACAAAAGACTAGGATTTGAGAAAGCTTTTCATTTCACTTGCTAGTAAGTCAGAGTTACAATTAAGTTCTGTGAGGCAAAAAGAGAGCAGAATCAGAGGGCCCTTGATTAAATTGTTTCTAATGAATCAGTACCCACACTCTCTGTCACAAATAGGAGCACGGTGGCTAAGAAACCACGGTGGACGTGGTTTCAGGTTATCCACATGAGATTATTCATAAAGACAATGATGATAATAAGGTTTTGGCTTTTTCCTTCAGCAAGACTCTACTGACCACCAATGATGTGTCCAATAGTAGGGCTTGCAAAGATTCTTCTAATTTTAAATGGAGTCGAAAAATTCTGGCCTTTAGTAAAAAACATATATGTACATCTTCTTTCATTAGTAATAACTTAATTACACTTGATCACTCTAAGATTTTAGGAGACAAAATCCCAGACATAGTTCAACTTCTGAACAACCTCTGTGAAGAAAAACATATTTGGTTTCATCACCCCCAAGGTGCATCATTTACCTTATGAAAGTGTGAGATGCCCAAGACATGAAAAATGTCATCCAGTTCCTCAAACTGATTCATATGTTCCCAATTCAGAAGCACATCTTTTATATAGAGAAATGAATGCCCTTGGATTTTTAAATTTGTTTTATATCTGTCAAGCCCATAAATTCCTATGGGACATTGGTCTTTGTCAGCCAAATAGCTTCAGACTGTAAATGCCTCCTGACAAGTGCTCAGACCAAAGTTACCGCCAGGATCATCAATTTCCAACCCCAGGCTTGTTTCAACCTAGGATGAGAGCTGGGGGACTAAATGGATCCCAGGCTTGGAGCAGAATTAAGTTGACCCAAATAAGTTAGGTATTTGCAAGGGGCCTACAAGAAGCACAAAGTATTCAAATTTTGTGCTTTGCAAGAAAGGGGAGGGAAGAATACTGAGTGACAAAGGGCTCCTTCCTTCACAGTGCTTCTTCGTGTCTGATCCTAGAGTGTGCCTTATTTTACCACCTATGGATAGAATAGACTGTCACCACTGTGCCACCCACTGCCATCACTGCCTGCCACCACTACCATTACCATCACTGGTACCACCACTGCCACCAGACTCATTACCACAACCATCACCACTACCCGCTCACAACCTCCATCATTGCCACTACCACCACTATTATCCCCACCAAAACTTCCACCATCACCATCACCACTGTTGTCGCCACCATATCCACCACCGCCATCATCACTGTTAGCACCCAGGAGAGCCTTCTATAAACCAGGTCTGGTGTCAATAGTTTTCTATGAATTATCTCACTAATCCCCACTAAACCCTATGTCACAGCTGAGGTTATTTGTTAAACTCAATTACACATAAGGAAGCGGTGACTTCGAGATGTTAAGTTACTCCAACAAAGTCAAGTATCTTCTAAGTGGTTTGTTGTGTGTGACAAGAGCCCTCTGTTCTGCCTCCCTCTGCCTCTCTGCCCTTCCCCAGATGGGGTACTTTGTAACCTGCTAATTTATGCATGGGTTAAAGTTCCAAAGGGAATTCAGAAAAAGTAAGAAAGAGAGAGGAAGGAATGAAAGACAAAGAGGGAAGGAGGGAAAGAAGAAAAATAAAAATATTTTCTACATTAAAGTAAGATTTCAAAGGCAAATTTCCAGTTTGAGAGTTCATTCTGAAGTGTAACTGAAGGAAGCAATATTCCAGCCTCTCCTCCAGCATGCTTTATCTCTGGACAGCTTTATCCAGGGGCAGAGAGGGTGGAGCACAAGGGTATTGAATGCATGAAGGGAAGAGAGTGAGGGGACACAGGCAATAGAGAAACTAGGTACAGGGAGAAGGAACGTGGGCCCCTGGTCCACAATTTCCCTTGCGTGCCCAACCCACTGAGCCAGGTCCTCTGACGTCCCTTGGGGAGAAGCAGGTAGATCCAGAGCTAAGTTGATTATTTGTTTTTTGTGGGGTTATTTTTGTTTGTTTGTTTTTTAATCCTCACTTGAAAGTATTTTTCCATTGTTTCATTTTTAAAGAGAAGGAGTTCTTTTTAAGGAAGGGAGGAACAGAGGGAGAATGGAAGAGAAACAGTGATGTGAGAAAGACACAGCAAATGTTGACCACTGGAAGTTCCTCGATTGGTTGCCTTGAACATGCACCCCTACCGGGGCCAGGGATTGAACCTGCAAACCAGGTACATGCCCTTGACTGGGAATCAAACCCCTGAGACCCTTCAGTCCCTAGGCTGATGCACTAACCACTAAGCAATGCCAGCCAGGGCTAAAATGATTATTTGGAGCTGAAACTCAAGAACAAAACTTAGTCGCAGGTAGAATACAGGTGGTATGAAATTGACCTAAATCTTAAGTCTTTTGGAGCCGACCGAAGTCACAGCCGCACAAACACTCCTGTGCTGCAGG